TTTCATGCTGATTTGTGACGATTCAAGGTTCTTTTTGGCGTAATTACAGGCTTTACGTAGGCGGTCTTTGTAAGTAGAAACAAAGTTGAGAAGATTCATCTCTGCGCTGGGGTTAAGCAAACTTTCTTTAAACATCTTAAGAGGACCACGAACCTCATGTCCAAATACCAATTCGAACGGACTGAATCCAAGGGACTCTTGGACAACTTCTCGCACTCCAAACAGCAAAAATGGTACCGCTTCGTCCCAATCTCTTTGATTCTCAAAGGTGTAGGTCTTTATCATATTCTTAAGGGTCTGGTGAAAACGTTCCAGGGCTCCCTGCGATTCTGGGTGGTATGCACTCGAGTAAAATTGCTTGATTCCGAGCTCACTCATAGCTTCTTGGAATACACGTGACATGAAGTTAGTTCCCTGATCATGTTGAATCTCTTTAGGCAGGCCAAATGTTGTGAAGAACTTGGTTAACGCACTGATGACTGCTTTAGACGTGATGGTTCTTAGAGGAATAGCTTCTGGATACCGTGTTGACGCACACATAATTGTCAATAAATACTGACATCCAGAACGAGTCTTTGGCAAAGGACCAACGCAATCAATGATCACTCGACTGAACGGCTCTTGGAAGGCTGGAATCGGTCTCAGAGGTGCGGGGGGGACTCTCTGATTTGGCTTCCCTACCAACTGGCAGGCATGACAGGTCCTGCAATGTTGCACTATATCTTTACGCAACCCCGGCCAGAAAAAGTGTTGTAGAACTCGATTTGCTGTCTTTGTTGTTCCGAGGTGGCCAGCCATTGGTGCATCATGGGCCAACTTTAAAACCTCCATTCTCAAGCTGCAGGGTAGGACTATTTGATGCCGCGTTTGCCACTCTTCATTAGCTGGGGCCATGGGCGGTCTCCACTTTCTCATTAGTATTCCATCCTTGAGATAATAGCAGTTTGCTATATCTTCTGCTTCCTTTTCTGTATATGCTTGAGTGTACAGGCGTTGCAGACTGTCGTCGGTTTGTTGCTCTTTCACTAGGCGATTTCTGTTGATAGTTATATCCTCCATCACTCCCTCGTCTTTGCTGTCATGGGCTTTGAATCTTCCTTCATTGGGCGTGTCTTTTTCTTCATCAGGGGCTTTTCCTGGCATTGAAGTAATATTACCTGTGGGGGCATCAAACAGCTCCTTTATACCCAATGTCTCCTYGTCACTCTTGAGTAGTTGCTTAGTCTTGGCTCGCGTGACGACACATGATGGAAAGAGTATAGACCCTTCGCTGTCGACATCGAGTTTCTCATTAAGGCTTGGCTGCTGTATCAATCTTGGCTCTGGAACTACTTTACCCCCGGCAATATCGTTGGCTAAGAGTATGGACACACCTTGAACTGGAAGAGATGCAATGACTCCAACTGTCACTGATCCTGCAACTAAATCACAATTTAAGTTAATGTTATGTAACGGTACTTGAATATATCCTCCCTCGACGCCGCGAACCAAAATTGTTTCACCCGTTGATGTTTCATTTGAAAATTCCAAAACTCCATCTTGTATCAGAGTAAGACTAGCTCCTGTGTCYCGAAGAATCTTGACTGGCTTTTCAGTAAGCTCATTCTCACCAGGAAGAGACACAGTTCCTTGAAAAATAAATGGTTGAAATTCCTTCGGTGATTCTTTATCTGTTGAAGACTGAATAACAACAGCATTAGAAGCATTCTTTTTCTTTTTCAAATTCCAACAATTAGAAATTAAGTGCCCTTTCTTTTTGCAGTAAGCGCACTGTATGGGCTTAAAATTAAATAGCCCTGGTTTAGGTTCATTTGAACTCCTTTCTTTTGTACTTGAATAACCTTCGTTAGGCTCTTTGGAAATATTTTCTTTCATAACGAGAGGCTTAGCCGTAGTCTGGCYAAAGTTCCTTTTGTGAGTGAGCGAATAATCGTCTGCTAGTTCGGCAGCTTTGTTTAGAGTGGATGCTTTCTGTTCATCCAAATATGTTGAAATTTCTCTTGGTACGCATTGTTTAAACTYTTCAAGCAGAATCATTTGCTTTAATTTATCAAAGTTTTTGTCGACATTGTTTGAATGGCACCAACGGTCAAATGAAGATTCTTTGTTCTTTGCAAATTCAACATATGTTTGATCACTCGCTTTCAATGAATTTCTAAATTTTTGCCTGTATGCTTCGGGGACTAATTGATAGGCATTTAAAATAGCTTTCTTTACGTACTCATAACTAGAGCTATTCTCAAGAGGTATTGCGGAATAAATTTCTTGGGCTTTGCCCACTAAGACACTTTGTAAAAGCAAACACTTTTGCTCGCTAGGCCATTTCAGAGTATCAGCAATTTTCTCAAAATGCGAAAAATATTTATCCACGCAGTCCTCATTAAACGGAGGTACGAGACGAACGTTCTTAGCAATGTCAAAATTTGTAGCAGAGGCACTATCAAGCTTTTGCTTTTRACTTTCGGCTAGTTTGACTTCTAATTCCTTGAGTTTTACTTGAGTGTTCAGCTTTTCCTTTTCAAGTTCGAAGCGAAATTTCAGTTCTGCTTCTCTAAGTCTTAGTTCGTTTTCTTTTTCTAATTCAATTTCTCTCATAGATTTATCAAATATTTGAGCTTTACCTTCTTCTCCTTCCTCTTCTTTATCCTCATCGTCCTCTGAAAATGCTGACGCCAATACCAGGCCTTTCTTAACTAAACTCCCAATAACTTCAGCTTTAACTTCAGCTTTCCTAGCCGTCCGGGTAATKTCAATCTCTAAAGCCTTTGCGACATCCAATAATTCGTCTTTCAACAACGAGTTGACAAGTCTTGGTCTTTTCTTTACCTCCTCCAGAACGACGGACATCTTAATATTTTGAAGAACGTACTCATTTACTTCGGTTTTCCCGTCTGAGCCCCCATTTTGTTACGTTCAAATGTCCAGCCAAGACGAATGATATCAACTAACTTTAATTACACGATTCAGGTTTTATATACAGCTATTGTAACAACAAGGAAGTGTATTTTCATAGCTATTGACTTACTTCATTTACTGCATTTTTCGAACAAGAAATGACNGCCCCCATTTTGTTACGTTCAAATGTCCAGCCAAGACGAATGATATCAACTCACTTTAATTACACGATTCAGGTTTTATATACATACACAAAAACAATACATGTTTACTTAACAACGATTAGAGCTATTGTAACACCTTAGGAGTCGAATTTCGACGAAAAAATCGACCAAATTTAGAGCTGTTCGAAGTGGATATGGAGGGCTTCGATTCCTACCCTGTCACAGATTATAGTAAGAGGGGAAAAAAATTCATAAAAGTTCTGAAAATCGCTCCAGAGATTACCAGTAGCTATAATAATGTACACAATAAGTTATAGCGAAATTCATTGTATATTTATGCCATAAATCAACTGTTTACATAGATTCACATACATTCTCTTATATCAAGTAAAGAGCTTGGGCTACCCGTGACAACACACGTGATCTGACAGTTCTTAGGCTTTGTTCTGATTACCATATTTGCTTAGTTATACGAGCTTTAAAGGTTGTAAATATGATGCAAGTGTCCAAAATTCTGTAATTTTGATGTAAATGATTTCCATTGAACTTGTAAATTTGATGTAAATATGATGTAAGTGTCCAAAATTCTTTAAGTTCAATGGAAATCATTTACATCAAAATTACAGAATTTGGACACTTACATCATATTTACATCAAATTTACAACCTTTAAAGCGCGATTTTTTACAGAATTGATGAAAAAAACATCTTTTGAGTCATTTCCTTATAGTATCTCGTCTCTCCCTGCACCCTGAAACAAACCTGAATGTTCATGTGAATGTTTGTGGCATTATATATAACCGCATTAATGAACAGTCACGTGTATGAACATATGATTGCATATAAAGTCGAACCTCTATTAAGCGGTCACCCTCGGGAAAAACCGAATGATTATTGTAAGCTTATGTAGACTATTATTATCGACAAGCTCGACAAGCTTTCAGTTTAGCTTAAATCAAATGACCTTTACAGATTAAAATAACTCCGTCCCACGGAACAAAACTGATCTACCGAGGTCAATATTACATTTAGAGTACGAAATTCTCATAAACATTAAAACATGTACTATACATGTACTATAGATAATCATTTTCAGCTTCTGTTTTGCTATTGGAGCTCCGCTATTAGGTGTTACCTAATTTTTATATTAGACTTATTGAGCTTTCATGGTTGACGGAAAACCACTCTAATGCATATCGCCTATTATCATTTGATAGGGTTTTAGTCAATGAACCATCACAATGTAATACTAATACTAATCAGATATATAGAACTGATTAATAAAACATCAGTAGTTTATCGGGATATAAAGGCCCATCATGTGACCCAATAKTTCGATGCTCATTGGACTAATTACTCATGAATTATTAATGAGTTCTAGAAGTAATGTTCGAAGGCCGACAATGAGGACTTGACGGGGTTTCAAAGTCCGCGCAATTAGTTCCAGTCCGAGGCGTTAGCCGATAAACTACTGACTTTGAAATCCCGTCAAGTCCGAATTGGAGGCCTTTGAACGACTTCAAAAACTCATTAATTATTCGGGAGGAAAAAAAAGCGAAGGAAATACATATAACAGAAATATATTGATTTATTGCATCTCCACTAAGGTTTTCAGTTTTCATAATTTCGAATACATGAAACACCGTTTGTTGTTCTTCAATTCCCGGACGGCTTTCTGAAACAAAAGCTATTCAAATTGTCTTTGTCTGCTATTCATGGCATTCCTAATGAGCCTAATCCATAAGATTTATAAGTATGTTATCTTCCGAGGAATCGCATCAGAAACTCGGTGGTGTAATGGTATAAGACGGCGCATATAGACTGGACGGCAGGGGATCGAGTCGTGAAGGAGTCATGTATCAAAGACCTTTTTTCACTAAAGTAATGTTAAACTGATTATTTCTAATAATTTGATTATCATTACCTAGTAGTAGTTGGAAACATGGTCGAAGTAACTGGAAATAAGGTAGAAATAACTGGAAATAATGTAGAAGTAACTTGAAAAGGGTAGAAGTAACTGGAAATGTCTTTACGTCTTTACAACTGAAGTTCAACTGAAATTGACGATGTACTGATATTATAGCTAGATGACTAACGCGACTTAGTTCAATTGGTGTTTTCCAGCTTACACCGTTTACATGTATCTTGCATGCGCTTGCTAAACTGATAACCCCGGGGGATACTTCCTATATTTAGTGCTATACAGGTATGGTGTGGTATAGTGCATGGTTTTTTTTTGGCTTTTTTGTTGCGTTACGAAGTTTGTAGGTTTTAAGGTTGATAACACATCGTCATGTTAACTTCATACTATGTCAGTCAATAACATTTCATCTTCTGAATTGACCAGTAAAGTTTGCTCATTTTCCACGTTTGTCTTGGAAACACAACATAAACACCCACAACAACTGTCATCAATTATGTATGGAGCTGGGTTTGATTGAATCTTCTTCACTTTTCTAGCAAGAACAGAAAGTCTCTTTTTGTCAGWTTTGTTTTGAAAGTCGAACAGATTTACATGGTTTCTAAGCCAGTAATGATTGCAAAATTCAGATTCCAGTGCAGTGTGTAATTCCTCTAGCAGCAGTGCAAAGCATTCTTCAATATTCTCATCATCCCAGAAACTTTCTGGTTTCTTCTCAAGAGTATTAAGAAAGATTGTCTTCATGTGATAGGATGAGAGATTTGGAAGAATTGTTTGCAAGTGATCCTTGAAGATGATTTTGAGAGCCATGAAACATTTTCTGGCTGTACCTGGTAAAAGTTTTGACAGTTCAAATTCTGCTAATGAGAATGAAAACCTCCAAGATGGCAACTCTTKTTCTTTATTTTGTGGTGGTAATGGCTTGGCAACTAAGTGAATRCCATTGGAAGTGATCCTTTGTACATCATCTGTGCTGGGCCATAATCGTTCTCTSCTTGGCCAATCACTTAATGGAGGCCACTCAACGCATTTAATACAAAATGTGATGTCACCTTCAAATTTGTCATGACCCACAAGAAACTTAATGGTCGGACCTTTGATATTTACATGAATTGTTTCACAACAGTATACACAAGGGAATCGTAAAGGGAGATTGGTTGCTTTAGAAGAAAGCACAGCATCTTTTACATTGACAAGGATGACACCGGGTTTCAATACTTTTTGGTGTGGAGTTTGGCCCTGAAAACTGACTTGACAATATGCTGAAGAGTCTGTTCTATCTGTCTTTAGGTCTTCAATGTGAATGTTYCCTTGGCCACTGAATGAAGCTTCAAATGTATCACAACATAACATGACATCAACATCGCACAATAAAGCATCCACTTTTCTTGGAATTAGTATACCATGTTCAATTGGAATACCAAATCTTTCTGCTACACTTCCAACAAATAATGAAGAGAATGTAGTAGTGATCATTCTCTCCTCTAGTTCAACTTTGACATCATTTAAAAATTTATTATACTCTTCTTGTATTTCTTGGTTTTTGTCTTCAGAAGGCAAGTACTCATCAATAGAAAGGAGAATGTCCCTGAGGGGCTTGGAGCTTATTACAACCCCACAAATACCTTTTCTGTAACCAAATGTAGATGGAAATAATCTTGTCTGAAAGAAAATTTGCAAAGAAACAATATTAGCACATTAGCTGCTAAAAGTTCCGACGCTCTCACATATATGGAGGGGTGGGGATGACCGTTGTATCTTTTAGGGGTAAAAATCAGGGATCTGTTATCTTTTAGGGTGTCTCCGTTTTCATGTTTTAGGGTGTCCTAATATAATTAGCATGATACGTAAAGATAACAACAACCGCAGAGGTGAAAATATTGTGTTGCCACGCCCTTCTTTTAAGAGCTTGGTATATTTTAGGAGTTTTTTTTTAATTTCCGGCAATCACCCCTACCCTAAATACGAAGGAGTCCTATGCCCCCCGGGCTAAAAGTATCATCAGAAGTATATAACCATTCTAGTTATGTACTTCTGGTATCATGGGATAGTTCATAGTGTTTACACTAGAGCAAAATACCACGGATTCAAACAATAATAATAATAATGTTTAATATTTATATTGCGCTATTTTACATGCATATATGATCAAATGCGCATTACATATCTATTTACAAATAGTGAAATTATATATATTATATCAAAGAGGCAAGATTTTGCTGTAACTCCGAGTTTCGTGCTACGCACTCATCAGACAGTAGTCATAATAAACATTCCTATAATCTAGATATACATGTATATACATGGTATAGAACAAAAGGCTAAGTGCTAGGCTATTTACATACAATACGTGATAGTTATGCTAGAAACAATAGGTGTGAAGGTAAAAATTACAAAGGAGAGTATACTATTAATTAAAACTGCATAGGTGTGAATACAATAGGCTGTAGAGGTGCCAAGTGTTCTTCAGGTAGAATTTGTTTTCSTGTCGGCATTTAGAGATGAGTTCTGATCTTTTGTTTAGTATATTGTTGTTACTGTGTTTAATTATCATAAGTTTTTCTGTAAGGCAGAGGTCGCATCGTTTGGATATGTTGTTGTAGGGTCTTGCACGGCTGATAATTGTCCATTTGATGTTGAAGTCTTGTTTTTTGTCTTTTAGTTGCCAGATGTACTTAGAAAGTTCGGTGCTGTTGATGTGTTTTCTGTGTTTAAATGTAGATTTGTGCTGCGAGAATCTTTGTTTGAATGTTCCTTCTGTCAGTCCGATGTAGTTCTTGGTTGTGTTGCTGGTTGTGACTTGCGCGTTGTAGATTACACTGGAAG